TACATACAAAATGCTACTTTTCTTTGATTAGCTCCCAGCTAGAACTCTCCTATTCATGTATCCTAGCACTACAACATCCTACTAATCCTCCTCTCCTAGACTCCTACTCATTAAATCCATCATCATCAGGGCCTCAGAAGTCAGCGAAAAAAGGCTGATTTAGGGTCTGAACGCTGATTTCCCAGACTTGTGGCTGATGTGTTGGCTGATAATTCAGTTTTTTTTTTTTAAGTGTTGGCTGATTGTTCAGTTTTTTTTTTTATGTATTGGCTGATTTTCCAGCGTTTTTTTACAAGTGTTGGCTGATTTATAACGAGAGTGTAGGCTGAACTCTCACGCTATTACAGATTCGTGCCAGAGCCGTGATTTTCGGCTGTCCAGGTACATCCACCTGTCAATCACGCAAAAGTCACCATGTACAGCGCCGACGCGGGGGAAAACGAATTTCCCCGACGCGTCGGTGCTTCGTTGTCACCGACAGAATGCTTTAATTGATGTGATTGGTTGTCACATCCCTTATGCGCCAATCACCCACCACCAGTGCAGCACAGCAACGCACCGCACGCACTCACGACAAGGACACCCACCTCACCCCATCTCACCCACCCCGAACCTGCATCCATGTGCGTGCCCTAAACATAGAACCAATCCAGTTCAGCCTGCGTTTTTTAGTGAGGCTGATTAGTCAGCGTTTTTTTTTGTGACTTGTCTGAAATTTCAGTTTTTATTTTTTAACCAACTCTGATTGATCAGCCCAGCATAGCCTGCTAAGGCTGACGTATCAGCCAAGCTAAAAACGAATCTGAGGCCCTGATCATCATCATCATCGGAGTCAACTGCATCTTGCTCATCTTCTATGTCAACTACTACATCTATCTCTTCATCTGCCTCCCTGCCCTTCTTGTTGTGTTGCTTTCCTGCAGGCGAGAGTGGAGCGTTGCTCTGGGGCTTGCGCTTCTTGTAACTCCTCCAGATTGTCACAATCTCATCCCAGTCGGGGGCGTAATCCATCAAGCTCATGCACATAAGGTCCCCGAGGCGAGCATCCTTGAGCGCGCCCCTCTTCCACGACTTAATGATGTTCTGGCGGGAGAACCCCCGCTCGCACTCCACGGTGCTCAGCGGCAGTACAGCAACCGCCACCCACAGGAGCACCAAGTTGGGGTAGTTCTCCCGCCAGCCGGGAGTCTTGAGCATGGCAGTGAGACCCGCGTGAAAACTGCGCTCGCCCTTGGTAGATGCTGCAAGCACCGAAGTGAACATGCGCAGCTCCTTCTCTGCGCGGCGCTTGTCAATTCCTCACGGGATAGGAAGTAAAACAGGAGGAGCAAGCTCAGAACCCAAATTCAAACAGGTGAAGCGACATGCAATACAAACGATGCATCGGGGTAGCCTGATATTAAAACCAAGCTGCTTAATGGCTTACCTGGCAGGATCTCATCCGTCAGGTCGGCCTTGAACAGCGTGACAAGCGACCGAAGTGTCAGAATGTTATTTGTCTAGCCTGTAGTGGGGTGCTCAATACTGAGTACAACCCCTTAGGGTTTTCTATTTGTGTGTCCTGCTGCTTGCTAGTGGATTCATTCTTCCTTCCAAAACCCTAACTCCTACCTCTAGAGCGCACACACCTACCTCCTAGTGTGGGCCTAGGCTACTAAGCCTAGGCCCCACTACCTACTATTCTAACACGAAGCCACTCGAGGCACCTGCGGTTCCTCTCTCCACGCTCCAGCGGGCACTCGTCGGGGGTGAAGAGCCTAGCGCCGGACATCCCATTCAGGTCGCCAAGCCGGTGCTCCAGTTGGTGCACGATCACCTCGGCAAACTCTGTGCAAACCTCCACACAGCCATCGTGGGTGCCGGGCCCTTCAAACTCCTCCAGCTCGTCCTCGTGCAGCACGAATTTGAAGCGTGCTGGTCGGCCGTCCGAATCAATCCCTTCAACCTTCACCTCCCGGTTTCCTCCAAGCCCATGGCGCGCGATGAAGGGGGACAGCAGCTCGCTGACGCCGCCTCCGAAGTCGTCTCCGTAGTCGACGTAGCGGCTCTCGATGTGGGATGTTGTACGCTTGATCTGCGCATGCACGTTGGCATAATCAAGCTGGAAAAAAACACGTGGACATGTGGTTAGTGACTAAGGTTAGAAGAAACGAAGCTGGCATTAGCACAAAGACTTAACTAGTAACAAGAAACCAGAGCTTACCTCCTTGTACTGGAATGCCTTGTTGAGTATGTTCAGCTGCTCAAGCACATCTGCAATGAAAAACAGGAGGAAATGAAACCTGTAGATCGTCACCAGCGCATAGAGCGTCGCGTCCCACTCCTTCAACATCACGATGAGAGCCGGAAGGACGGCGACGAGTCTGAGCAGTGCGTCGCCCCGCGAAAGCCAACGGACTGCATGGATCCCTTGCTGCTCCAGTGAGGTGGAGGTGAAGACTTCCTGCAGCCCCATGAACCGCTGATGCCATGGCCCACTTCGACCGAGATGCTCAGCCACGGTGCGGATCACCGTGTCAATGACGTTGAAGGCGGGAATCTTCTCTGCGGTTGTTTTAGCCGCCAGTGCCTCCCTGTAAAAACAAAAAAGGGAAACATTAGTCACATGTAGCCGTTAAAGAACTTCAAAAAACCCTATGCACCTACAGGTTTACCTGTGAGCGATGCAGTGGGATGACACCAAATGGGGAATGCGCACGCGAAGACGTGTCGTGAGGCCGCCCTTGCAGCCCATCATGACGTTCGCGCCGTCGGTGCTGATGCCTGCAATGCGCTGCAGGTCGACCCCGACTGCCAGCAGGTGTGATAGCAGAACGCCCAGAAGAGAAGCGGCGTCGGCCTTCTCCACGGTGAGAAGCGCCATGAACTCCGTGACGACCTTGAAGTCACGGACGAAGGTGATGAACAGGATCAAGTGCTTCCCGCTGCACCTATCCGTGCTCTCGTCAATCGAGATGCCGACGAAGGGCGACGACAACACATGTTGCAGCTGCGTTGTCTGGAGCCATGTAGCTGTAGCTTGCGTCAGCTCACCGAAGCCGTATCTGCACATGGAACCAATAGTGAGTAATAATTTAGTTAGAACATTATTAAAACGTGGGTACTTATAAAGAGGCGTACGGCAGCTGCACTCACGTGGTGTAGTAGGTGCCGTACCCTCTCTTAAGGAAGCCTTGCACGCCCTTCTCCGACAAGTACCGCACCAGTTTCACCCACATCCCCATGGGCGCGTCGGACCTGCTGATGAACAGCAGCGAGTCCAGAAGGGCGACGGTCCGCATCTTCTCACTGTCCACCGCGGCGCGATGTTGGTCGATCTGTGGCTGCCGTCCACCGCACTCCTCTTCATATTTCTGTCTCTCAACCGCCAGCTTGTGCTTCGTCATGCCAGCGTGTTTACGGAGAGAGTGTGTCTGCAGGTCGGTGGCGCCTCTCCCGCGCCTCCCGCACTTTCCTGCATCGCCAGCAAAGGCTGCACAAACGGTACACTTGAACGCAGGCAAGCCGGTAGTGGTTTTAGTGATTCTGAGCCACTGAAAACGGGTAGACCAATTATTTTTGAACTTGTCAATCGCTTCGTCGTAAACTCCCTCGATGAGCTCGGCCAGATTGATGTTGAGGCGAGGTCGCGGTCGGTCAGATGTTCCGGGAGCGTTCTTGACGTTGGCATTTGACGACGCAGGTTTGCCAAAGGTGAAGGTCGCCTGCTTGAGACGGGTCGTGCGCGCCGTGGTCTGAGTCGGAATCTGCGACTGTGAATCAACGGTTGGTTCCGCAAATGTCTCTACCGTATGGTCGGCAGAAAGTGAGAAAACTGGAGCCGCGGGTGCTTTCTGTATGGGAATTGTATCGGGCATGGCGCGTGCAGCTTTATCGAGATCTAGTGTACTAAGCAAGAAGTCCAAGCCTGTTAAGGCAGGCCGCTCATCAGGGTCGTCGTCGCCTGTGGCGGGATTGTCCAGCACCGCCATGGCGGGGCTGTGAAAGAGCCTGCCGAGCAGGAACTAACTAGAGAGATGATGGCTGAGGCAAAACTGGGCACTGGCTTGGGCCCGTGAGATGTAGCTGAGGGGTGTGGATGAAACCCTAGCACAAACACGAAGGCCCTTTACCAAGATGGGCCATCATTGAGTTGTGTGGGTGGTTGCCTACCATGCACGGCAACGACGAGGCGCATCGTTGCAGTGTGTGGTGTGGATGTTGCAGCATCGTGGTACACGATGCTGCCTAAAGGAGCGTCTGCTTGCCATCACGTTTACGTGGGTGGCATGGCAACTGCTGCAGCATCTTACACCGAGGGAAAGAACGCGCCGCAGGGCGGGTGAAACATCCAGCTGTACGAGGGAAACATCGGGCCGCAGGGCGGCGGTACAGGTACAATGTATGTACCACAGCTAATCCTGGGTGTCGGCGCGCAGGTAGATTCATTCAGAGTCGGAACTCGTTTGTACTCTGAATTCATCAGAGTACACTCCCGGAAAACTCTGAAACGTCAGAGTCAACGTAGAGAAAAATCTGATTTTCACAGAGTTGAGACAATAAAAACTCTGAATTTTACAGAGTACACCCTAAAAAAAGTCTGAAATCTCAGACTAAAACAAGCAAATCAGACAAAAAAGTCTGACTTCTGGGGGCCTGAATTATGGCGAAACGGTTTTGGCGAGAAACGGGAGTTACTGTTTGACGAATTTGACAGGAAGCGATTTGGGAGACGAACCTTCGGATGTGTTCCCGCCCGTCCCGGGGCACGTTTCTGAAATGAGCTCATTTATGTACAGTCTCGCGTCAAACTGATTTCGTACGTAAAAAGTTCTGTTACATGCTTAATTCTGGCAACTGAGCTGAAAATTTTCCGTGCATGTGCAAAGTTAGACCCGCCCTTATTCCCTCTACAATAAGAAATTACTGTGGAGAAACGCTATGGTACTTCAAACTGGAACATCAGTACGGTATGTCATATGTGTTGCTGTTTACAGTGACCCCGCCTTCCTTCACTGCATTCATTGCACCTTGGTGTCACCACTTGCACCACCTTCCACAAGTTTCCGCAGAATATCCGGCATGTCGTATGTTATGTTGTTGAGGGGAACATTGAGGTCACTCTTGAATATGCGAGAAACAGTCAGCACCGTATCCTGCAGAGCACCAAAAAGGAGAAACAGATGAGATGCACGTTACATCATTCATAGGAATTCAGTGCAGTGTATGTGCAAAAGGGATGTTGAAGTTGGATGTGACGATACTTACCCTGTTATGCAGGGGAGTCAGTTGCAATCCAAAATCCATCATGTTGGTTAGCGGTACCAAGGTTCCAGTTGTTGAACCTGAATACACCCCTAGTGACTAAGAGTTGGTGCCAGGCACCGACTTCCCCAAAGTTGGCATTGTCTAGATGTGAGTCGTTGAACCTAAATTACCTTCCTAGAATGGTTATAATCCCAGAGCATACCCTGGCATAGAGCCGGCTAATTGCACCTCAGAGTTTGTCGCGTGCACCGACTTGCCAAAGTTGAACGAGTGGAAATGTGAGCCGGTGAATTTGATTCTCCATGTTAGAGTGTGTAAATAAGAGAAACATACCCTGTCATAAAGCCGAGCGAGTTGCGCCTCAGAATTCGTCGCATGCACCGACTTGCCGAAGTTGAAAATATCAAGATGCGAGTCGTTGAACCTCGCTGTAACCCGCCTCACATCCTCCTCCAAGTGCTCAAATCGACCCACAAAGTCATACTGAACGTGCGCCAGGCCACAAATGTCCACCTGGAATGAAGTGAAGTGCAGAGAGGTGATAAAGGAACCTTGCATTGTCTGGAAATGCGTGTCATTGAACCTTGCAGTGACCCGCCTCACATCCTCCTCCAAGTGCTCGAACCGATCCACAAAGACATACTGGACGTGCGCAAAGCCACAGATGTCCACCTGGGAGAGAAGAGTGATAATAATAATTATACAGATTGAATTACCAATAACAACAATAACGTCAATAATATTAATGACCATAGCAGAAATAATAGTATGCTTATATTAGTTCACAATGTAAACACTGTCTGGAGATGCGCATTAATGACAAATGACATCCATGATGGCATCCGGAAGACAAGCCTCTCAGACTCTCATTGACACATCAAACACAGGGTGTTTGAGCCTCACCTGACTAGAAATGTGTGAGTCTCACCTGACTTGAGATTTGTGAGTCTCACCTGACTTGAATTGTGTGAGTCTCACCTGACTTGAATTGTGTGAGTCTCACCTGACTTGAAATGTGTGAGTCTCACCTGACTTGAAATGTGTGAGTCTCACTTGACTTGAAATGTGTGAGTCTCACCTGACTTGAATTGTGTGAGTCTCACCTGACTTGAATTGTGTGAGTCTCACCTGACTTGAAATGTGTGAGTCACACCTGACTTGAATTGTGTGAGTCTCACCTGATTTGAATTGTGTGAGTCTCACCTGACTTAAAATGTGTGAGTCTCACCTGACTTGAATTGTGTGAGTCTCACCTGACTTGAATTCTGTGAGTCTCACCTGAATTGAATTGTGTGAGTCTCACCTGACTTGAATTGTGTGAGTCTCACCTGACTTGAAATGTGTGAGTCTCACCTGACTTGAATTGTGTGAGTCTCACCTGACTTGAATTCTGTGAGTCTCACCTGAATTGAATTGTGTGAGTCTCACCTGACTTGAATTGTGTGAGTCTCACCTGACTTGAATTGTGTGAGTCTCACCTGACTTGAATTCTGTGAGTCTCACCTGACTTGAATTCTGTGAGTCTCACCTGACTTGACTTGAAATGTGTGAGTCTCACCTGTCTGGAGATGTGCCGGTCCGTCTTGACACGCGTCCGCCTCAGATGATCCAACAACCGAATAAAATCCGGGAAGCTCACAAGATCCGTCGCCGGATCCTTCAATAAATCCAGAATCCTCTTTGCGGTCCCAAAAAACTCCTGGTTCCAAAACTTCCGCGTCCCCCACCCCTCCTTCCTCTCCGGAGCATCGGTGATCACGAGCTTGTTCAGGTACGTCGACGCGATCCGCACGTACGGGTTCCGAACGAACGTGAATTTAAACATGGTGCGGCGTGTCATGAGCTTTGTGGCTTGCTTTTCTGAGTATTTCTGTGAGAGGTCTCCCAAGCCTGAGGTCTTGTGGCTGTGTGCGAGGAAGGGGTCTCGGGGTTTGGGCAGGCCGAGCATGGCTCGCAGCCACATCTTCCATCCCGTGCAGGCGACCTTGGGCATGCTGCAGTAGGCTATGCCTAGGGTTGCTGATGTGGGGGTATGGGGGGGTGACAAGGGGTGACAAGGGATAACAAGTTGTAAACAGAGGGGTTGGGCAGGTTGAACATGGCTCGCAGCCACATCTTCCATCCCGTGCAGGCGACTTTCGGCATGCTGCAGTAGGCGATTCCCAAAGAAGCTGGTGGGGATATGGGGGGGTATAACAAGGGCTGACGCGGGGTAACAAGGGTTAAGGAGAGGTGGGGCAGGCCGAGCATGGCTCGCAGGCACATCTTCCATCCCGTGCAGGCCACCTTGGGCATGCTGCAGTAGGCTATGCCTAGGGACGCCGGTGGGGCACGGACGAAGAAATCAGGAACAAGGAGTAACAAGGGGTAACAAGGGGTGACAAGGGGTGACAAGGGATGACAAGGGGGTACAGAGAGGGTTGGGCAGGCCGAGTTGGCTCGCTGCCACATCTTCCATCCCGTGCAGGTCACCTTTGGTATGCTGCAGCAGGCGATCCCTAAAGAAGCTGGTGGGGGAAGAGGTAACAAGGGGTGACAAGGGGTGACAAGGGGTGACAAGGGGTGACAAGGGGTGACAAGGGGTGACAAGGGGTGACGAGGGGTGACAAGGGGTGACGAGGGGTGACAAGGGGTTAAGTAGAGGGTTGGGCAGGTTGAACATGGCTCGCTGCCACATCTTCCATCCCGTGCAGGTCACCTTGGGCATGCTGCAGTAGGCGATTCCCAGGGAGAGATGGGAGAAGGGAGGAGGAACAAGGGGTAACAAAGGGTGACAAGGGGTAACAAGGGGTAACAAAGGGTGACAAGGGGTAACAAGGGGTAACAAAGGGTGACAAGGGGTAACGAGGGGTAACAAGGGGAAACTAACAAGCATGGATGCAACGCAGCCTGCTCCGGCAAACTCTAGGAATAGCCTATTGCATCATGCACATGCAACTCACGTGCAACGGCAAAGAAGAAGGCGACGGGATGAGCAGTCAGTCATGGGCCTGGCTCGCTCCATTAGGCACAGAGGCGTGAAGGGGATGCAACCATGCGCACATGTATGATGCATTCATATGTCCATATCAAAACTCACGTTCCACAGCAAAGAAGTAGGCGAATGGCTGAACAGTCATGGGCCAGGCGCGCTCAGCCAGGCACAGCGGCGTGAAGAGGCGGAAGGAGGGGAGACGGTGCCTCCCCCTCGCTGCGATGAAGTCTGAGAGCGTGCTGGGCTCCATCACCACCAGCCCGGTGGTTTGCGCGAGCAGAAAGAGATCAGCCAACTGCATGAGTGGGTGAAGCAAGATGGAGGCACGAGGGGAAGACAGAAGCAGGTGGCATCATGGCCTCGCTGCAACAAAGGTAGTGCATGGCCCTTGCTGCGATGAAGTCTGAGAGCGTGCTTGGCTCCATCACCACCACCCCGGTGGTTTGCGCGTGAATGGGTTGGTGAAGCAAGACGGAGGCACGAGGGGAAGACAGAAGCAGGTGGCATCATGGCCTCGCTGCAACAAAGTCTACGAGCGTGCTTGCCTCCTTCTTCGTATATTGTCTCCTTCGTACCTTGCCTCCTCCTTCGTATCTTGCCTCCTTCTTTGTACCTTGCCTCCTTCTTGGTACCTTGTCTCCTTCGTACCTTGCCTCCATCACAGCTTGTCGGCTCGAGGGCAGATGGGAATGCGGAGGACGCTTATGGAATTTGCCAGCTAGAGGCACAAGGTACCTCAGAAGCGTCTACTTGAGGTACCTCAGAAGCGTCTACTTGAGGTACCTCAGAAGCGTCTACTTGAGGTACCTCAGAAGCGTCTACTTGAGGTACCTCAGAAGCGTCTACTTGAGGTACCTCAGAAGCGTCTACTTGAGGTACCTCAGAAGCGTCTACTTGAGGTACCTCAGAAGCGTCTACTTGAGGTACCTCAGAAGCGTCTACTTGAGGTACCTCAGAAGCGTCTACTTGAGGTACCTCAGAAGCGTCTACTTGAGGTACGATATCTGAGGCGCCTCAAAAGCCCTCGTTGTCAGCAATGGGGCTTGAGCAAGCAGAGCTGGCAGCAATGGGGCTTGAGCAAGCAGAGCTGGAGGGCAGATGAGAATGGAGGGCACGGACATGTAATATGTTGAATTTTGAGTCGACTCAAAAATCGACATATAATATGTTCTTCTCACCTCTCGCTGCTTGCAAGTCAGTACCAATTCTGCCAGCCTCTCAGCCGCCCCCTTCCCCTTCTCCCCCATCGCCTGCACCAGCCCTCTCCCCGCAGCTTGCCAGTTGAACAGAAAGAGCGAGAGAGGGGGAAGAGGAGGCAGGGAAGGGATTTAAGAGGCAACAGCTCTTACCTCTCGCTGCTTGCAAGTCAGCACCAGTTCCGCCAGCCTCTCAGCCGCCCCCTCCCCTTCATCCCCCATCATCCGCCCCAGCCTCCCCACAGTTTGCCAGTTGAACAAAAGGAGTGAGAGAGAGGGGGGAAGAGAAAGGAGGCAAGGTGTCAAGAGCCAACTGCTCTCACCTCTCGTTGCTTGCATGTCAGTACCAATTCTGCAAGCCTCTCAGCCGCCCCCTCCCCCTTCTCCCCCATCGCCTGCACCAGCTTCTCTCCGCAGTTTGCCGCCCGGAACGCGGCGGACGGCGACACGTACGGCGCGCGGTCGGCATCAAAGAAAGAGACGATGTGCGCCGGGTGCGACTGGGCGGCGGAGCCGAGCGTGAAGTCGATCGACGGGCGGTGGAGCATGGTGAGCGCGAGAGTCCGGGCGGCACAGTCGGAAGGATTGAGAGAGGAGGGACAGCCGGGGCAGGTGCCTCTGGGGGTGGCCTGTTTGTGTTTGGGAAGGAAGAGGGTGGGGAAAGGAAAGAAAAGAAGAACAAATAAAAGGTGAGGTGAATCGAAGGAAGGAAGAGAGTGCGGTGGGGCATGGTGAGGGCGAGGGTTCGCGCAGCACAGTGGGATGGGAAGGATTGAGGGAGGAAGGGCAGGGCAGCCAGGGCAGGTGCCTCGGGGGGTGGCCTGCAGGTGTGTGTGGTACGAGGGGGGGTGGCAAGGGGAAGGAGGCTTTTGAGTCGAGACAAAAGTCAACTCGGTGGCCTGGAGGCGTGTGTGTGGTGTGTGGTATGAGGGGGGGTGGCAAGGGGAAGGGGAAGGAGGCGGGTTTGAAAGCAGGGAGGGGGGGAGAAACGAGGTGGCAGAGTGGGCAGGATTGAGAGGGGTGGGGCAGCCGGGGCAGGTGCCTCTGGTGCCATAGAAACTGACCTACCAGGCAGGTACGACCACTTGAGTACTGTGCAGTGCAGTGCAGTGCAGTGCAGTGCAGTGCAGTGCAGTGCGGTGCTCCCACTCACATCCAGGTGAGGGGTGCATCCTGGCAGCAACAGAGAAACTGACCTACCAGGTGGGTACGACCACTGGAGCACTGTGCATTCAGTGCTGTGCATTCAGCACTGTGCATTCAGCACTGTGCATTCAGTGCTGTGCATTCAGCACTGTGCATTCAGTGCTGTGCATTCAGCACTGTGCATTCAGTGCTGCCGCTCACATCCAGGTACACGCCAATGCTGCCCTCCACGCGTGTCCTCTCGCACCATGGTAGCATAGAGGGCCTATACTACCAGGACACTGTGCAGTGCACTGCGGTGCAGTGCGATGCAGTGCAGTACAATGCAGTGCAGTGCAATGCACTGTGGTGCAGTGCAGTGCGGTGCTCTCACTCACATCCAGGAACACGCCAATGCTGCCCTCCACGCGTGTGCTGTTCAACCCCTCCTCTCACACCATCGCCGCAACAGCAGGTGAGGGCTGCAGAGACATATACCAGGTGGATACTACAACCAAAAGAGCACACCGTGCACTGCAGACTCACATCCAGGTACACGCCAATGCTGCTGTCCACTCGCGTCTGGTTCAACCCCTCCTCTCGCACCATAGCAGCCACAGCAGGGGAGGGCTGCAGCCGTGCGTAGCACTTCTGCACGTGCGCCCACACCAGACACCCCACCCGCTCCTCCTGCCAGTCCTCCTGTGGGTGGCGGCGACAAGGAGGGGGAGATGGAAGAGAGCAACACAAACTCAGCAACAGCGGAAGGTGAGGGGTGCAGCCGCGCCCACACCAGACGCGTAGCACTTCTGCACGTGCGCCCACACCAGACGCGTAGCACTTCTGCACGTGCGCCCACACCAGACGCGTAGCACTTCTGCACGTGCGCCCACACCAGACGCGTAGCACTTCTGCACGTGCGCCCACACCAGACGCGTAGCACTTCTGCACGTGCGCCCACACCAGACGCGTAGCACTTCTGCACGTGCGCCCACACCAGACGCGTAGCACTTCTGCACGTGCGCCCACACCAGACGCGTAGCACTTCTGCACGTGCGCCCACACCAGACGCGTAGCACTTCTGCACGTGCGCCCACACCAGACGCGTAGCACTTCTGCACGTGCGCCCACACCAGACGCGTAGCACTTCTGCACGTGCGCCCACACCAGACGCGTAGCACTTCTGCACGTGCGCCCACACCAGACGCGTAGCACTTCTGCACGTGCGCCCACACCAGACGCGTAGCACTTCTGCACGTGCGCCCACACCAGACGCGTAGCACTTCTGCACGTGCGCCCACACCAGACGCGTAGCACTTCTGCACGTGCGCCCACACCAGACACCCCACCCGCTCTTCCTGCCCCAGGGCCTACTGGGTTAAAGCTTGTTAGCCTGTATCAACCTGTACCAGGCCTTACCACTCACCCTATCGCCCGCTCACCACACTGCTGCGCTGCAGGGAGTCAGTCCGAAACCACCCATGCAGATTCAGCTTCCTCGGCAATCCCAAGGGCCGCCCCGCCACCTCCTCACTGTCCAGCTCACGGTCACTGCATCGCTGCCTACTCCTCTCAACCGCTCACCACACTGCTGCATTGCAGGGAATCAGTCATACCCATCTCAACCGCTACTCACCGCATTGCTGCGTTGCAGCGAACCCATGCAGAGTCAGCTTCTGCGGCAATCCCAAGGGCCGCCCCGCCACCTCCTGACTGTCCAGCTCACCCATCCTATACCACTGTATCTCTGCCCATCCCTCTCAACCACCACTCACCATGCTGCTGCGCTGCAGCGAATCAGTGCGGAACCAGCCATGCAGAGTCAGCTTCCTCGGCAATCCCAAGGGCCGCCCCGCCACCTCCTGACTGTCCAGCTCACCCATCCGATACCACTGTATCTCTGCCTACCCATCTCAACCACCACTCACCACGCTGCTGCGCTGCAGCGAATCAGTGCGGAACCAGCCATGCAGGGTGAGCTTCCGCGGCAATCCCAAGGGCCGACCCACCACCTCCTGACTGTCCAGTTCCCCCGTCCACATAGAAACCGGCACCGGCTCATCCTCGCTATAAGCCTCCTCGGTTCCTTTACCGCGTGCGCCGGCTGCATCCGACGCTGCGTCTGAGTCAGCAGAGTCTGAATCTGAGTCAGCAGAGTCGGAATCTGAGTCAGCAGAGTCCAAGTCTGAGTCAGCGTCGGCTGAGGAGGAGCGGGGGAAGGCAGTATTGCGTGCTGACGCTCTTTGAATGCGCTCCCACGTGTCTCGAAAGCACGGGCCGTAGTGGCGCTGCGAGGGGCGAAGAGAGCGAGGGGGGGAGAAGGGAAGGGAAGAGGGAGAGAAGGTAAGGGAAGGGAAGGGAAGGCAAGATAGAGCGAAGCGGCGGCATGAGGGAAGCAGTCAACCAGCTGACGCTCTTTGAATCCGCTCCCACGTGTCTCGAAAGCACGGGCCGTAGTGGCGCTGCAAGGGACGAAGAGTGGTTGGAAGGGATGGAAGGGAAGGGAGAGCGGTAAGGGTCACAGCCTGACAATGCACACTGACACTCGCTGAATCCGCTCCCACGTGCCTCGAAAGCATGGGCCGTATTGGTGCTGCAAGGGGGAGAGCGGTGGGAAGGGATGGAAGGGAAGGGAGAGCGGTAAGGTCACAGCCTGACAATGCACACTGATGCTCTTTGAATGCGCTCCCACGTGTCTCGAAAGCACGGGCCATAGTGGCGCTGCGAGGGGCGAAGAGAGCGAGGGGGGGAGAAGGGAAGGGAAGGGAAGGGAAGGGAAGGGAAGGGAAGGGAAGGGAAGGGAAGGGAAGGGAAGGGAAGGGAAGGGAAGGGAAGGGAAGGGAAGGGAAGGCAAGATAGAGCGAAGTGGCGGCATGAGGGAAGCAGTCAACCAGCTGATGCTCGCTGAATTCACACCCTCTTCGCTCGCTGAATTCACACCCTCTTCGCTCGCTGAATTCACACCCTCTTCACTCGCTGAATTCACACCCTCTTCGCTCGCTGAATTCTCTCCGACGTGTCTTGGAAGCACGGGTCGTACTGGTGCTGCGAGGGGGCTAGAGAGGAATGGAAGGGGGAAGGGAGGGAGATAGAGCGAGGGGAAAAGGGAGGAAGACGGACTTATGAAACTTGCCGATGCGGGGGAGCGGGAGGGAGGGTAGGGGAAAAGGGGGAATGAGGGTCAAGGCTTTGCAATGCGCACTGAGGCTCGGTAAATTCGCTCCCACGTGTTTCGGAAGCACGGGGGTAGTGGTGCTGCGAGGGAAGGGAGGATAGAACGGGAGGGTGACACAAAATACAAAGGACCGTTTGAGGGTGACGGGTAGGGGAGAGGATAGCACAGCGCACCCGTAGACTGCACCCACACACTTGCTTGCTGGGGATGCTTTTGAGTCAACTCAGAAGTAGTCTGAACTCACATGCTTTCTTGCTGGGATAGCCCATGTGCACTCACCCATCCCACGCTCTGCCATGCCCTGCCCTGCACTCACCGCCTTGCTAAAAACTGCCAATCATTCTCATACATCCCATACCCTGCCCTGCCCTCCCCTGCTCTGCCCTTTCGTGCACACCGCCTTGGGTGTGTGGGATACCCTCATCCGTCTCAAGTGTCCCATCCTCTGCTGCCACTTATCCGATCCCTTCCATCCATCCCATGCCCACCCTGCACTCACCACCTTGAGAGTGAAGAGCTCGTGAATGAACCGCCTGGTGGCATCAGCAGCAGACTGCTGCTGTTGCATACCCATCTTTCTCACACACTGCACTGCACCACACTGCACCGCACTGCACTCACTGCCTTGGGAATGAAGAGCTCGTGAATGAACCGCCTCGTGGCATCAGCCGCGGCTTGCTGCTGTTAACATACCCATTGCTCCAACTCACTGCACTACGCAGCCCTACACCACACTGCACCGCACTGCACTCACTGCCTTGAGAGTGAAGAGCTCGTGGATGAACCGCCTGGTGGCATCAGCAGCGGACTGTTGCTGCTGGCATGCCCATCACTCCACTGTACTCAACGCACTGCACTACACCGCACTACACCACACTGCATTACACCGCACTGCACTCACCGCCTTGGGAGTGAAGAGCTCGTGGATGAACCGCCTGGTGGCGTCAGCAGCGGAGAGATTCGTCTCCACCACCGTCAGCGCCGGCTCAAACAGGGCTGAGAACGGCACGTATGGCATGCCCGCCCTCTGCCTCTGCTGCTGCGGCTGTTGTTGGCTTGCTGGCGGCTCATCTGAGAGCCAGAGCACTCGCACGGTGAGTTGATGCACTGCTGCTACTGCGTGCGCCAAACACACAGTCTCCAAGCGCTGGGGGATGGGACCCTGCGGGATGAGGGAGAAGGAGGGGAAGAGAAGGAAGGGGGGAAATAGGAACCATTTGTGAGCCAGAGCACTCGCACGGTGAGCTGGTGCACTGCTGCCACCGCGTGCGCCAAACACACAGTCTCCAGGCGCTGGGGTATCGGGCCCTGAGGGAAGAGGGCGAAGGAAAGGGAGGGAGGGAAGAAGGGAAGAGAGGTAAGGAAGTCCAAAAGAGCACTCGCACGGTCAGCTGGTGCACTGCTGCTACCGCGTACGCCACACACACCGTCTCCAATCGCTGGGGTATGGGGCCCTGATGAAATAGCGAAGAAGGGAAAGCGGGGGAGGAAAGTCTAAGAGGAACCCTTGGTGAGCCAGAGCACTCGCACGGTCAGCTGGTGCACTGCTGGTATTGCGTGCGCCAAACACACAGTCTCCAGGCGCTCGGGTATCGGGCCCTGAGGGTTGAGGACGAGAGAAAGGGAGGGAGGAGAGAGGTGGGAAAGAGACTCACTGAGGGCCACGTGGAGCTGCCTGTGAGTCAATGAGCTGCCTGCGAGAGGAGGGGAGGGGTCGGGCGAGCGGAGGGGGAAGTGGGAGTGGTGAGAGGCGGAAAGGAGATGAGCTGCGGGGGGAGAAGCCGATGAGGGAGGTGCACAGGGTGGGTGAAATGGAGAGAAGAGAAAACAGATGGTCCGGAAGGACGACGGCCTGAGGCTTCTCAGGAATCTCTCGCTGATCGCTTATCATGAAAGGATCCCTCAAGAGGGAGAACCAGTAGGAGAGAAGCGCGAAACAGAAACGATCATACAAGAGTTGGTCACTCTACGCCTGCAGTGGCACAGTTGCACACATGTCGCGATACGACCTTGAGATTATACCTATCGTACACGTGGAGCTTAAGGGATTGATGAGAACGAGCTTGCTGTGAGCATCAGCCAAGGAAGGCCCACTGACCGTTGCGAACGCGACGAGGTCGATGTGCTGACACGTGGCAGGACTAGGGTCGACGTGGCATTCGGGATCCGATCGCTGGTCCACTAGCTCCCGTCGTATGACACCTTCGATATTGGCGAACTCGTTCGTAGCATGATGGCCCTTAAGGTAAGAGTAGTAGTGTAGCACGCCGACCGCTGCTAGCAGCGCGACCGTCGCTGGCACTAATAATTTTCCGCGACTCGAGTGGCTCTTAGCTGAGCTTCTAAAGATTGGCTTTCCTTTGTACCCTACTGCCATTTGTACCGAGATTCCGTACAAAATCGCTTCTACAAACAATTATCCCGGGCAAAAAAATTAACACGAAGACTACCTAGGTCTGCGGGGGTACGGTGTTTGAGCAACGGTCATGATAGTATGCAATGGCGTGACAGTGGCGTTCCCGCGCATTTGAACAAGCGTCTTCACGAAAGGCCTGAGAGGACGGCTAGCTTCGTAACTCGAACCAAGTCCACACAGCAAAACACGTATCCACCACCTCAATTTGCGAGGAAACTAACTACAGCTTGCTCCTACAAAAGCCAAGTCAAGCTCGCCCCCCGTTCTGACACAAACTACAGCCTTGTGGAAAACCTAGGTGTCTCCGAACCGAGAGTCGTTTTCGTGACGGGTAGAAAACCTAGGAAACCCAGCAGAAAATTACAGTGAGGAGTTTTACGGGCACCCTTCAGCACAGAAAAGGTATCCAGAAGCTCGAAGAACCAATCGCTAGCAAGTTTCCGTGACCTTCGATGGGATAAAACGTTTGAAGGGCGGATTCCAAAGTTGCGGCGGCGGTTCAAAACTATGCAAGGCTCGGCTGTCGTTCAGTTTCCGTGTCGCTGCCTTGTGAGGAGGTTCGGTCTGGACCCAATTGGGCCCGTCGCTTCGCTTCGCTGGCGGCTCCATTTCCACTTTGTCAGCCCGGCATGGGTTTTTTGGCGCGTTTTTGGTTAGAGACATACCCGCTATGTCGACACTCCGAGCCACTACAAGCCCACTCGGTATGCATCGGAGAAAATACGATGTAAGACGATCGCATCCTGGGGAATAGAAGCCAATCCTTCAAGATAAGCATTCTCTCCTTTCTGACAGATCGGTCAATTTCCTGACGGGAGCACAGAAATCAAAGCAAACCGCCGCTCTACTGTTTTTACTGCCTCGAGGCATTCATTCAGATAAGTGGCTATCACCAGAATCAAAGCTCATCATGAGACCCTTTTTTCGGCGCCTTCGCCTCCTCAAGGTCACGGCGAAGCTCCTTCTCCTCTTCCGCCTCCTCCTTTGACCTGGAGCGCTGGGACGGCCTCTGAGGTGGCACCTCAGAGGGCATCTTAACCGGAATGGCCGAGTTCCTCACAACAAAGTCGGTCAACGGACCGAGGCGGGTGTGGTGCGTGTCGATCTGCAGCACAGGTACGACACGGACAGGAAGTGAAGCAAGCATGGAAGGGTTACATACTTCCGTCATCAAAACTCGTCAGGGAGGCTCTCAAGGCGCTTTAGCCGCAAACTATGTACGGGGCCGTGGTGACAAGTGTACAATCAAAAGCAGGGGGGAGAAGTGTAAAATCTGAGCTGGGCATTCGTACCGGGAAGCGTGATGCAAGTACTGCAAGCGTGCCGCAAGTGCTGCAAGCGTGATGCAAGTGTACGTTCGTACCGGATCAGACTTGCGATTGGCGGGGTAGAGCAGCAGCGTTGAGAAGGCTGACACCTGGTGGGTGAATGGTGCATTAACTGCAGTATGTGCTGTATGTGCTCTCTGTGCTGTATGTGACGTGTAGAGAGGGTGTTTTTGAGACGTCTCAAAAACACCCTCTCTACATCTGGTGGGTGAGTGGTGCATGAAGTGCAGTATGTGCTCACCGTGCTGTATGTGCTCTCTGTGCTGTGTGTGCTCTCCGTGCTGTATGTGCTGCACGTGAATCAAGCTGTATGGGCGTACCGGATCCGACTTTCGATTGGCGGGATAGAGCAGCAGTGTGGGGAAGGCCGACACCTGGTGGGTGAGTGGTGTGTAAACTCCTGTACGTGCTGTGTGTGTGCTACACGTGCTCAGTATATGTGCTGCACATGAATCAAGCTGTACGGACGTACCGGATCAGACTTGCGATTGGCGGGGTAGAGCAGCAGCGTGGGGAAGGCCGACACCTGGTGTTGGGTCGGGGGGGAAATGGACGTGTGGGTAATGGGCGGGTGGGCTGGGAGGGTAAGGTGTGGTGTGGGTGATGGTTGGGTTGGTGACAGTAGGCAATTGAGCAGCAGCGTGGGAGGGCCAACACGTGGTGGGTGGGTCATGCGTGGGTTGGTGATAGGTGAGTTTCAGAGCGGTGCAGTGCGGCACAGTTGACCTACCTTATTCAGTAACCACCAACCAACCAACCAACCACTCACATCCAGGCCCAAACACGTGCTGTGGGTGTTCATGCAGGCAAAGGCCAACAGGGGCAAGGTGGTGAACTTGAGGGCAGTGCTGCTGTGTAGAGCACAGCACAGGCCTTCACTGGATTCTTCATTCAACATTCCGCCTTTCTGGTAACCAACCACTCACTCACCTCCAGGCCTGGGTACTCGTGGTTGCGGGAGTTCATGCGCGCAAAGGCGAGTGAGGGTACACAGGTGGTGAGCTTGCGAGCGGTGCAATGCAGCACGTGACACTCACACACACTCAATCCCACCTACTCGTTGAGTGATCAGCCACTCACCTCCAGGCCCGGGTATTCGTTGTTGCGCGCATTCATCCGCGCAAAGACGAGCGAGGGCACATCAGAGAATTTAAGAGCGAGCTTCTTGAAGGTGGGGTCGAAGTCTGTGCAGTCCTGACAGTGATCCACGTCGATCTGTGGACGTGAGGGGTTTGGGTGGAGTAGGGAGCGGGGGAAGGAGGATTAAAGTGAGACAGCATGTGCGGTGAGTGAGGTATAAGCTTCATGAAGGTGGGGTGGAGGTCGGTGCAGTCGTGAGAGTGATGCACGTCTACCTGTGCAGGGCAGTGAACGAGGAGAGGTAATAGGATAAGGAGAATCATGTGGGCAAAGGCTAGTGAGTTGACTTTTGAGTCGACTCAAAACGAGGTGACTTTTGACCTTTGAGTCGACTCAAAAGTCAACGAGGAGAGGTAATAGGATAAGGAGAATCATGTGGGCAAAGGCTAGTGAGTGCAAGCTTCTTGAAGATGGGATTGAGGCCTGTGCAGTCCTGACAGTGATCCACGACCAGCTGTGCAGGGCAGGTGTGGAGGGGAGGTAATAGGATAAGGAGAGTCGTGCGTCCAGACCAGTGAGGGCACGTCCGACAGCATGTGTGTGGTGAGTGAGAAATCAGCATCGTGAAGGTGGGGTCAAGGTCTGTGCAGTCCTGACAGTGCAGTCCTGACAGTGCAGTCCTGACAGTGCAGTCATTACAATATCCTTGAAATTCGTTCCGAGAATTGTCCAAGTGCTCTAACAAAACCTACGTAAACAGGCTTTAAACCAATAGTACCTTGAGTAGCACGTCCTTGGTCCTGTCCATCACGATCTCCTTGAAATCCGTTTGGAGGCGCGTTCAGTTGCTGTAACAATATATGCGTAAACAGGCCTTCAACCAATAGTACCTTGAGTAGCACGTCCTTGGTTCTGTCCATCACGATCTCCTTGAAATCCGTTTGGAAGCGCGTTCAGTTGCTGTAACAATATATGCGTAAACAGGCCTTTAACCAATAGTACCTTGAGTAGCACGTCCTTGGTTCTGTCCACCACGATCTCCTTGAAATCCGTTTGGAGGCGTGTTCAGTTGCTGTAACAATATATGCGTAAACATGCCTTTAACCAATAGTACCTTGAGTAGCACGTCCTTGGTTCTGTCCATCACGATCTCCTTGAAATTCTTCCCCACCACCGTCAGCACCGGCCCGTCATTCTGCACGCATTGGAGGAAGGGGTGCAATGAGAGAGGACTGAACCATGGAGTGAGAGGGATGGATGGGGAATGAGAACAGAGCAATGAGGCTGGGACTTTGGAATCCGCTCTTCCCCACCACCGTCAACACTGGCCCGTCATTCTGCACGCATTGGAGGAAGGGGTGCAATGAGAGAGGACTGAACCACGGAGTGAGAGGGATGGATGGGGAATGAGAACAGAGCAATGAGGCTGGGACTTTGGAATCCGCTCTTCCCCACCACCGTCAGCACTGGCCCGTCATTCTGCACGCATTGGAGGAAGGGGTGCAATGAGAGAGGACTGAACCACGGAGTGAGAGGGATGGATGGGGAATGAGAACAGAGCAATGAGGCTGGGACTTTGGAATCCGCTCTTCCCCACCACCGTCAGCACTGGCCCGTCATTCTGCACGCATTGGAGGAAGGGGTGCAATGAGAGAGGACTGAACCACGGAGTGAGAGGGATGGATGGGGAATGAGAACAGAGCAATGAGGCTGGGACTTTGGAATCCGCTCTTCCCCACCACCGTCAGCACTGGCCCGTCATTCTGCACGCATTGGAGGAAGGGGTGCAATGAGAGAGGACTGAACCACGGAGTGAGAGGGATGGATGGGGAATGAGAACAGAGCAATGAGGCTGGGACTTTGGAATCCGCTCTTCCCCACCACCGTCAACACTGGCCCGTCATTCTGCACGCATTGGAGGAAGGGGTGCAATGAGAGAGGACTGAACCACGGAGTGAGAGGGATGGATGGGGAATGAGAACAGAGCAATGAGGCTGGGACTTTGGAATCCGCTCTTCCCCACCACCGTCAGCACTGGCCCGTCATTCTGCACGCAATGATGTTTGAGGCGGGAAGGAAGAGTGCAGGCAGGGTGGAAGGAGAGGGCAGAGGCGAGGTATAGAGTGAGAGGGAAGGAGGGAGAGGTAGTAGGGCTCTGGTGCGTCAGCAGCAACTCAAGCTGCCTAGCAAAGAAAGTATACTCCAGCTCAGTACATATGGCTGATATCTGTGGTATGGAGTCGTGAAGAGATAGTATGGCTCTGGTGTGTTGACAGCAAGCCCAACAAATGCATTCCAGTGCAGAGGTGACTTTTGAGTCGACTCAAAAGCCACCTTGTATTCGGCTCATTCTCACCTTCTCTGGGATGGGGTCGGAGAGGTAGTATGGCTCCAGTGCATCGTCAGCAAGCTCACGAGAGGTAATAAGGCTCCAGACGGGAAGGTTGGCAGCAATTCTTAAACCACCAAACACATATGCTTCAACCCAGAATACATGATCGACAATATACATAACCCAGACGCACCTTCTCTGGGATGGGGTCGGAGAGGTAATAAGGCTCCACACGGTCGGCAGCAAGCTCACGAGCAAAGGCCTGTGGTGGCGCATGTTTGAGAAAGCGGTGAGAGGGGAGAAAGAAATCAGTGATTTGAAAAGATATCAAGGGAGTTGGCGTGTATTTAAGAGGGCGCGGGACAGAAAACAATGACTCCAGTGCTTCAGCGGCAAGCTCGCGAGCAGAAGCCTGATGAATCGGTTGGTGGTGCCTGTTTGGGATGGGGTGGGAAGGGAAAAAGAAGCAGTGTTCAGTTCACATCAACATCCACACCAAGAGCTTTCTTGAGGGAAGGGACTTAATGTGTTTCAAGGAAGGGGTGACATGGAAAAAACGACAGTGGGGTTGTTGGATGGTGCGTGTGTAGGGAGCGATTAAGGGGAAAGCTTTAGAAACAAGGGTAGGCAGAGAGAAGCATGCTGGAGTAGGCAAAAGTAAGCAACGGTAGGCAGAGCGAGTCAAGTAGAACAGTCAAGTAGAACAGTCAAGGAGGTAAGATATTCCTCTATGCACAAGCATACAGGCTCTGATATTAGTGCTAACAAATCACTCTCACACCACAATATCATCAGTGGTGACCTGCCCTCTTGAGGGCCTTTGACACCGCCGTCTTGTTTATCCACGTGAAAGAAGTGAATGTTTAATTGAGACGTCAATTAGATTCACTTCTTTCACGTAGTTAGTGCCAGCAAATCACTCTCACACCACAATACCATCAGTAGTGTCCTGCCCTTTGGAGGGCATTTACGTCTTGTTTGAAGCCTTCTGAGACTCCTCAAGAATGGAGCAGCTGTAGTTGGGATCTTTCTCTCCCCTCGATGTTATTTGCCCAACTTCTGTTGAACTCGTATGTTATCATCATCATTATCATCATCATCATCATCATCATCATCATCATCATCATCATCATCATCATCATCATCATCATCATCATCATCATCATCATCATCATCATCATCATCATCATCATCATCATCATCATCATCATCATCATCATCATCATCATCATCATCATTATTAATATATTAACATAATTATATTTATCATTATTCAAAAGCTCACTTTTGAGAACTCTAAAAAAAATCTTACCTCGATGTCATCAGTGGTGATCTGCCCGTTGAACTTGAATTTGACCTCATCCGTCTCATTGGACTCCATGCCCATGATCTAAAGTAACGGGGGGAGGGGAGAATTCATGGATTGGTGTTGTGTGTGCCTGTGTGTGTGTTGGTTTGTGTGTGTGTGTGTGTGTGTGCGCGCGCGCAGGCGAGCGCGCATGTGGCACTTGAGCTTGACCTTATCCGTCTCATTGGACACCACGCCCATGATGTGAGGAGGGAGGCAGGCAGGCCAAGGGAAATGGGAGGCAGAAGGAGGTAAGGAGAGGTAGGTAGAAGCAGAGCAAAGAGCCTCTTGAGCTGAAGTAGAGGTAGGTAGAAGTAGATGGGAGGCAGAAAGAAGCATAGGTAGGTAGAGGGAGCGCAGTGCCCGTTGAACTCAAACTTGACCTTATCTGTCTCATTGGACACCACGCCCATGATGTGAGGAGGGAATGATAGAGGAGCGGGAGTGGGCAGAGCAGAGGGATGGAGAGGCAAGTTCTTGGAAACGGCACTGCAATCACCGCATTGAACCCATGCTCACTGTATTAAGACCAGAATCACCACAATAAGCCCACGCTCGCCACTTTGAACCCACACCACCGCACCGAACCCATGCTTACCGCAGTATCGCCGTGCCTGAAGCCAAAGTACTCCAGAGCGTGTTCTGATTCCGGGAGGTCGCTGTTGATGTAGACAAAGAGGGCCTGGCGGATGGGGAGAGTGGTGAGGGAAGAATCAAGAGGGAAAGACAAACAAGGGACGTATGGCAAGGGAATGCCAAATTATTCGAGAGCATGCTCTGAGTCTGGTAGGTCGCTGTTGATATACACAAAGAGAGCCTGGTGAATGGGTGGCCGGGAGGGAGAAGAAGAGGGGAGACAAAGGAGGGTGCAAGAATTACGATAAGGGAACACCATCCGTTAGGCCCTCTTGAGACATCACGTACTCGAGAGCATGCTCTGAGTCTGGTAGGTCGCTGTTGATATACACAAAGAGAGCCCGGTGAATGGGAATGGGTGGTCGCAGCGGAGAACAAGGGGGAAGACAAAGAAAGATGCAACCACCCATTCGCACCCTAACGGATGCGACAAGTACAATAAGGGAACTCCATCCGTTAGGTTAGGCCCTCTTGAGACCTCAATTATTCGAGTGAAGATTCCCCATCCCATCTGTCCCAAACAGCAACCAACTTCTCACCAGTCCTTTCACCTGACCTGCACCCTCTTTCACCACTGGCAGGTGCTGCGGGTAGGTCTCATTCGTCGCTAGAAACAACACCTGGTGAATTCATTTCTGCCACCCTACTTCCAACCCTCCCTGTCAGAATCAGTTCTATGTCCCCATCATCCCCTCCCCATCATCCCCTCCCCATCATCCCCTTCCCCATCCCTTCTCCCATTCCCCAACCCCCCTCCCCCTTTCCTTCTCCCATTCCCCAACCCCCCCTCTCCCCACCTCCTCCCCACCACCTCCCTCTCCCTCCCCTTTCCACCCTTTCGCTCACCAGTCCTTTAACCCGCCTGGCAGCCTCTTTCACCACTGGCAGGTGCTGCGGGTAGGTCTGTCAGTGGCGTGGCTAGGAACAGCACCTGGCGGATCTAACCTGCCACCTTTGTTCCAACCCTCCCTCCCTTTAAGGAGGAGTCCCCATCATCCCCGCCCCTTCCCTCCCTCCCCCTCTCCCCCCTGGTACCAGACCAGACCCCCCTTCCCTCTTTCTCAACCCCCCAATCGCTCACCAGTCCTTTCACCCGCATGGCAGCCTCCTTCACCACTGGCAGGTGCTGCGGGTAGGTCCCATTCGTTGCCAGAAGCAGCACCTGGTTGAACAAAGGTGGTGGTGTGGGGGGTGAGACGGGCAGAGGGGACATGCGCATACGAGGTGACTGACCGGCGCTGATTCAAGAGTCACTGGCAGGCAGGTGCTGCAGGTAGGTCCCATTCGTATTGAAATCACTTCTGAGAATTCTCAAAACTGGCAGCCTGGCTGGCAGGTGCTGCGGGTAGGTCTCATTCGTTGCCAGGAACAGCACCTGGTGAATGGATGGTGGGAGGAGGGAAAGGGCGGGGGGAAGGGGGGAAAGGGGAGAGGGGGAGGGGGAGGGGGAGGGGGAAGAGAGATGGTGGGGCGGAAGGCGGGGGGTGGGGAGGGGGGGAGATGAGCATGAGGTGACTATTGAGCAACATGGGCGTAGGTCTCTGAGCGTACTCAGAACTTAGAAGCAGTAGCGTGGTGACATTTGAGTCGACTCAAAAGTCGCCTGTGGAGATAAATTTGCGGGTAGGTCTCTGGGCGTACTCAGAACTTAGAAGCAGCACCATACTGGCTGAACATATCATAGGCGCTGGTAACCAGAGATAGTTACTGGCCGTTACATTCACCAACATAAGGAACCCACTTCTTTCTTGATACGACTGTTGAAGATGGTGTACTGGCTGTCCTGTCCTCATCAGAGATGGTAACCAGAAACGCTATTAACTGTTACAAAAATCATGGTAGACTAGAAACTCACTTGTTTCTTGATATTACTGTTGAATATGGTGTACTGGCTGTCCTCGTCATAGGGTAAATTGTTGGTCGTTACAAACATCACTATAAGAAAACTCACTTGCTTCTTGATATCACTGATGAATATGGTGTACTGGCTGTCCTCGTCATAAGTGGTAACCAGAGAGAAGGTGCTAATCGTTTTGAAGTAAAATTACTAAGGAAAAAAACTCACTTGTTTCTTTATGTCACTGTTAAAGATCGTGTACTGGCTCTCCTCGTCATAGGTGGTAACCAGAGGCAGCTTGTTCGCCGTTACAAAGGCGGCAATGGCACTGCTGGTGAAGGGACCGTCTGCAAGATACAGGAAGGGGAAGGGAAGCCCGGGGGGGGGGGGGAGAGGGGAGGGGAAGGGAGAGAGAGGGTAGACAGAAGGGGATAGGGGGATAGGAAGCAGCGTGTGGTTGACTGAGGCTGCTTGCTGGTTTGAGGCGCCTCAAAAGTTGACTGAGGCTGCTTGCTGGCCATTCCATTACAAGCGCAGCAATGGCCAGACCATCGGCAAGTCAGCAAAGCGCAGCAATGGCAGTGCTGGTGGAGGGACCGTCTGTCTGTCGGTACCAAGACCCCTCCCTCTCACCATGAGCAACAAACTTCTCGTCCTCCTTCTTAATAACCGCCACTGTCGGCCGCTCCTTGCTCACAATCCTGAATTCTGCTGTGACCATGCCGCCAACAACACGCCCCCCCTCTCCCCTCCCAATCTTGTCGTCTCACCATGAGCCACGAACTTCTCATCTTCCTTCTTAATAACCGCCACTGTCGGCCGCTCCTTGCTCACAATCCTGAATTCTGCTGTGACCATGCCGCCAACAACACGCCCCCCCTCTCCCCTCCCAATCTTGTCGTCTCACCATGAGCCACGAACTTCTCATCTTCCTTCTTAATAACTGCCACTGTCGGCCGCTCCTTGCTCACAATCCTGAACTCTGCAGCAATGTTAGCGTCTGTCGTCGCGATAAACTCGATATCGTCAATGTCGCGGGAAGCTTCTGCGAAAGCCTCTGCCTCAGGGCCCTGTGATCGGTTTGGTTGAGAAATGAAGGAAGAACAGGAATCCAGTATTGGTTTGGCTCACAATGTCGCGGGAAGCTGCCGCAAAAGCTTCTGTCTCAGGGCCCTGGAAAGGACTTGGGTGGAATAGAGAAAGAACAGAAACTGTGTACATACAGGAGATTAATAGATCGATTAATTGGTGGAAGCAAAAAGGAATTGAGAAAGACAGAGGAACACATACCTTGAGGAAGTGGGGGATTAAGGAGGGACAATGGCGTTGGAGAGAGTAGAGAGGGCAGAGAGCAGAGGGTGCGTGTTGTGAGTGTGCAGCACAGAAAGGTTAGCGGCTGACAGAGCGGTTGACAGAGCGGTTGACAGAGCGGTTGACAGAGCGGTTGACAGACGGACAGGAAGAGCGACGAGCAGAGAGGAGAACAGAGAGAGGAGCAGAGAGAGGAGCAGAGAGGTGAGTAGAGAGAGGAACAGAGAGGTGAGTAGAGAGAGGAGCAGGGAGAGACGCGCAGAGAGAGAGAGGAGCAGGGAGAGAGAGGAGCAGGGAGAGAGCAGAGGGTGCGTGTTGTGAGTGTGCAGCACAGAAAGGTTAGCGGTTGACAGAGCGGTTGACAGAGCGGTTGACAGACGGATAGGAAGAGCGACGGGCAGAGAGGAGAACAGAGAGAGGAGCAGAGAGAGAACAGCTGAGAGAGACGCGCAGAGAGAGAGGAGCAGAGAAAGAGAGCAGCCGAGAGAGACGAGCAGAGAGCGAGGAGCAGAGAGAGAAGAGCAGAGCGAGAGGAGACACACACCAGCCAACCTTGAGGGAGTGCAGGAGGGCGAGGGCGATGGCGCTGGAAGCAGCGATGGGCAGCGAGCAGAGAGTGTGCCTTGTGTGCGACTGAGGTGGCGAGGTGGGTGACTGACAGACAGACTGGGCAGACAGAGAGGCGAGGCGCACACACCAACCTTGAGGGAGTGCAGGAGGGCGAGGGCGATGGCGTTGGAAGCAGCGAGCAGGGAGTGTGCCTTGTGTGCTTCCGAGGCGGAGAGGTGGGTCACTGACAGGCCCAGGCGCTTCTTCACAAAGGTGACGAGCTCGTCACTGGGATCGGGGAGGGGAGGAGAGGAGAGGAGAGGAGAGGAGAGGAGAGGAAACGAGAGGAGCAGTTTGGGTGAAGGGGATAGAACTCGGGGATATCTGTTTCCGTCAGGACTCAGTAGGAGAGGTGCATCACTAAGAGCCCACGGTGCTTCTTCACAAAGTGATGAGCTCGTCACTGGGATTGGGGAAGGGAGAGAGGAGGGAGAACTGTCAGTCATTGATAATGGAGGTGCGTCACTGACAGGCCCAGGCGCTTCTTCACAAAGGTGATGCGTCACTGGGATAGCGGCAGAGAGGGGATTGGGTGATCGCACAGCGGCGTTGATAAGAGAGGTGAGCGACTGATAGGCCCAGGAGCTTCTTCACAAATGTGATGAGCTCGTCACTGGGAGGAGAGGAGAGGAAACGAGAGGAGCAGTTTGGGTGAAAAGGATAGAACTGTCAGTCACAGGATGAACTCTTGTATATCTGCCTCAGTCAGTAATAGGGGCACGTGACCGACAGCCCAAGGCGCTTCTTCACAAAGGTGATGAGCTCGTCACTGGGATTGGGGAGGGGAGGGGAGAGGAGGGGAGGGAAGGGGATGTGCGGTTAGGGTAAAAGACTAGAACTGTGAGCAGCTGGATGGCTGTCGTAGAGCTGCTTTGATGATGGAGGTGAGTCACTGCCAGGCCCGCCTGGCAAATTCTCTCAAAAGTGATTCCTGCCGACAGCGCCGCGGGTCAGCTGGCGTCTCACCTCCGAGATTGCTCTCACCTCCGAGATTGCTCTCACCTCCGAGATTGCTTCTGATCAGCGAAGCTTGCTGATCATCAAGCTGCCGACAATCCCGCAGATCAGCAGATTTTTGAATTGAATAAAAAACAACCTCTGAGATTGCTCTCACCTCCGAGATTGCTCTAACCTCCGAGATTGCTCTAACCTCCGAGATTGCTCTAACCTCCGAGATTGCTCTAACCTCCGAGATTGCTCTAACCTCCGAGATTGCTCTAACCTCCGAGATTGCTCTAACCTCCGAGATTGCTCTCACCTCTGAGATTGCTTTTCATCAGCGGAGCTTGATGATCCGAACTATCAGAGCCTTTGAGGCGCCTCAAAACTAGATGATAAAAATGATAAGAAATCCGTGATCAAAATGCAACTCGAATATCCCGGCATTGGATGGGTAGCCTCGTCTTCGGAGGAGCCACGTGATAACGGGTCTACTTTGAGACGTATCAAAACAAATGCGTTATCACGTGCCCCGGCAATGAATGGATAGGCTCGACATTGGAGGAGATGACACAAGGTTGATGAGCGGAGGAACATGATGATCACAAAGTACCCCCAATGCTTCGATGACCGCCATGCTTCTATTGACGTATCCTTTCTTGATTATACACAATTAAACACCACAATCGCACCTCTCGGGGTAGCCTCTGATGGGTCTGAAAACTCCGTCCCTGACGAGCACGAAATTCGGCATGTCGCCATACGCCTTGAACTCTTCGCGAACGCTTTCGCCCGCCGCGACTCCATCCACCATCGCTACAGTCACACCCAGCTTAGTCAACTCCGGTTTCGCGCCGGAGACGTCATCCACGAGCAACGGAAACGCCTTATCCTCCTTATTGAAGAACACTACAAGGACGCGAGAATGCTCCGCTAGAGTCTTTCGGAGGGTTGGCACCGTTAAGGCCTGAACTGGGGCTTTAATCTTGCCTAACGCAGCTTCTAAGTTCTCCTCTTCGTTCGGATCTGGGGACTTGTAAGTAACTCTCTCCGCTCCGATTACTTTCGCCGCCGTCGCCGTTACCGGCGACGTTACCGTTACCGTCCACGACATTGTCGGTGACACATTGAAAGATGGTAAGAGGGAGAGGAGGACGAGGATGAGAATGAGGGAAGAACGGCAACTTGGCTTGTTAGGGCCTGGCATTGGAGCAGAGAAAAGAGCAGGTAAGAGAGCAGCAGGGAATTGCGGAAGACGGGAGGAATGGCGGCTAAGAAGGAGCAAGGCGAGGAATCGCAAAGCACGTGAGAGCGGAACGAGGGGTGATGTTTAGTCTAAAACTTCACCTAATCTGCTACTTTCACCACGGGCCGCTATGAGAACAAATCGCTACTTGTGCGGCGGTTCGCTATGCAGTAACGTCCAGGTCTAGAGAGCACCATCACGAGATTCGAGAATCTTCCAAATCCGTTCGCTCTTCGGGTCTCCTCCACCAATCACCAACCAGATGCATTTGTTAACGAATTGCAGGTCTAGCAAGGTTTTCTGTAACAGATGGTTCGGCGAGTTTTTGACACTCGCCACAACTCGCCCAGCCTGCAGGGAGGTCGTATAACAATTACGTTGCAGGTGCTTCGAACGTGGTAAAAACATCTACAGAAAATTCTCTGTTATTTTGCGCGGGGATGGTCGGCTCTGGTCGACCAAGGTCGATCTAATCCGACCAATCGAGATGGGTCGGAATACGCTCTATACCCTGGACCTCGCTGGACCCACAGTCCGCCGAACAGGGTGAAAATATCGAACCCACAGTCCCATGCCAGCACAGAATTGGTTTACTGGTTCATAGGAAACCCCATCTGCTGACAAGGGTCGCCCAGTTGGTGGCTTTTCCTGATTGGCTATCGCGATACTCTCTGCCACGGAAGAACCTCTCCAAGAGAGCCTGACTGATCCCAGTTGGAGATAATTCCACGAGCACAACGAGCCCCACCGCCAACGCGTTCGTTTCTCCTCCTGCAAAGGAATCTTCAGAATGGCGGAGGTGCTTGGGGAAATTTCACACGCCCTGCAGAATGTCATGCTGACAAGATCACGCTTAGTCATTGAAAGTCAAATACAGCGTGAAGCTGTGGACAGAGGGGAACAATGAAATTATGGGTTTGCGTTTGTGTGAACTAGCGTTTGGCTTCCATCTCCGGAATCTCTATTATTGTGCCGAATGCTGACACAGCATGACCTAATTTTACCTTCCCTTGCTGAGGCGGGTACATTGCTTCGTTGCCTACTATTATAATTGTGATTCTGCAATTATTTCTGCGTGGGCCCACACTGGAGGTAGTTCACGTTCCCCACGCTGCGGAATGGCTACTCCGCGGCCTGAGGTCACCTGCAATGCGATACCTGCCTGGTATTATTGGTGGGAACCGGAAAGAGTCTTACTTTGCTGACCCGTGCGGCATTATTGGCCTTTTGGTGCTTGTGTAGGAGACTTGCGATGCAGAGTCAGCAAAATCATTGCTGTATAGCAGCCAAAATGTGGAAAGTAATTGGCGGAAGGCATGACACGGACTTGTCACACGCACAGGTGTGTGTACCACCACTGCCTACTACATATTTGTCACCACCGCATTTGTGTCAGTACTACTGCCGATTCTCTCTAACTACTCCTATCACATCACACGTATTTCCTGGTTCTACTACGTGCTGATACTTCTATACTACTGCCTTAGAACCGCCATGGCCCTCCCACGCCCCCGTCAAGTCTTTGTGCTGCTCCTCGCTGTTGCTGTTGTGACGAGCACGCTCATCAGCAGTGCCGACGCAGAATCCAACGAGACTACCATGACGGTCGGCGGGTACACATTGTACAGAAACAAAACGGTTGTGGATGCCAGTGGAACGGTTGTGCCCCTCACCAAAAACGAGGATGGGTCTGAAAGCTTTGGAGAGTATACTAGCTACAGTAATGATACTATCGTTGGTCCCAACGGCGTGATTGTATCGAAGGGCCCAGACGACAGCCTCATTTTTGGCAGCACGATAATGTACAACATGTTCAACTTCACGGATCTTAGTGGAAAGGCGCTTCCGCTTGTTCGGAACAGCGATGGTTCGGCGACTGTAGGAGACGATATGACTCTGTGGAGTAATGGTACCATCGCCACTAAAAAGGACGGCATTATAATCAACACTGGGAGTCCCATTGACCTGTCCGGCAAAGCCGCTTCTCCCGACAGCAAAGCCAGCAAAGCCGCTTCTCCGGTCAAGCCTGGTACAGTGACCTATCCCGTTATAGCACGCTTTTATAATAATTTCATGCTCCCTTGTGTTGTTTTTGTGATTCTTGTTTCCTGAATCTCCATCGGCCCTCCCTTGCCATCAATGATGTAACGGAAGTTCTGATTTACACTTCGAATCATGCTTCTCCCTTGGCAGGCTACATTGTCAGCGCCATTACCATGGCTGCTGGTTTTGCTTTTCTGCTTGCGTAGCCTGCACTGGCGGAGTTGCTGGGAAGACAACCACAGTAGTCTAGTTTATGTAACTTGGCTGGTGGCAATGCAACAGACAACTCAATGTATGGTGTTCTTCATGCAACCCTATAGGATTCTCATCACGAGTATAGAGAAGCATCATGAAGAGTATGCCTGTCTAATTTACATCATGTGCGTGTATCACCTGCAAAATGTTGCTGCCCCAAAGGAGTCCCAAAAAAAGCGTGTCCCGTACCTGACCCACAACAATCACTATCGTGAGAGTAGTACCAGTCATATTGGCACAAACGCGAGCCGCATACTGTTGGAAACAATAAGTCCTAAGTGCGCTTCTGTCGTATCAAAATCCAAGGTACCAAGCGAAGCAGTCCCAATCGAAGCATCGAGTCAACCTCGGAGGTTAGGGTAACCGCCTGGAGGTTACGAGAAAGTCAAAGGTCGCTGACCTTTGACTCGACAATTACAGCGCGACAGTTAAGGACACACAACTGACTCGTTACAGAGCAGTTGCCCGAGTCGCGCTATATCGAACCGCAACAGCAATACAGTTATCTATCTATTCCCTATACTCTTATATAAATCCTTGTATTTGCTTGTTTAATTCAATCAACTTTGCTCTCACACACCAGTGCAAGGTCGGTTCAAATTCTTCACTAAACGCTTCCGCTATTACAACTACTTCACCTAGAGTTATCACTTGCAAAGATCCTAAGGGGCTATCTCAGCCCAACATGGTATGAGAGCAGACAAGGGAAACTCTCCTTTTTTTTTCAAGATCATTACAAGACATGGCAACAAACAAGGAAAGGAGCTCCCCTAATGGCTCCTCGGGCACTACTCCTACTCCACCGCCAGCCTCTGGCCTGCAGACAGAAGAAGGCACGGCAACAAGACCAAGAGGAACGTCAACCGAGACCCCCATGAACCACCCTTCGGACTTTGACCAGAACATGATGGAGAAATTTTTCTCCTTCATGTCCTTCTACGAACAACACCAGCAGTCGGGACCTGCACAAACACACAACAGCAACAACGGAGCGACACCCATGAGTCTTGATGGGTCGTCATATGCGCGAGGAAACCAGCAGCAGCAACCTACCTTTGCTCCGTACGAGCGCGGGTCAATCAGCTTCGTGCCCCACCCGCAACCTTCACCTGGACAAGAAAGACCACTGGACGCACTTCAAGTTCAGTCGCAGTTTGCACACGTCTTAAAACTGCAAACGTCAAGACCCTTCGACGGCAAAGACTTCTTTACCTGGTCCTTTGAATTCGAGCTGATGATGGAGGGCGCGCAGATACTCGGCTTCTTCGACGGGTCCCTGCAGTATCCAGCCAACGGGACACAATATGAAAAGCAGCAGTATACGTATCAATCAATGATGGCGTATACAATCCTATTGAGGAACGTGACACCAACTCAGCAGCAGAACATTCGCTCTTACCGGACCTTCGGCAACTCGGCGGAGCTCGCGTACAGCCATCTGAAGAACCTGTATCAAGCAACAGACAGTGTAAACCAGAGCAGGTTAATGGCGCAGTTGACGACAGTCGAAATGAAACCAGGAGAAAAAGGACTGGCGTATATCAGCCGATGTCGCGAACTGCGCGACAAGCTGCTTCGATGCGGAGGGTCAATCTCTGAAGACGCCTTCGTGACAGTCATCATTGGTGGGCTTGGTCCTCAGTGGCGCGCCACCAAAGCCATTCTTCGAGCCCACGGAAGAATCTCTGAAGCTGCACTCTGCGCCGAAATACATGCCGAGCAGCAAGATATGGACCTGCAGGAAGAACGACACAGGAAGAAAACGACAGTATCAGAGTTCGCATTCCACACTCAACGACGACACAGCAATTATAACAACCGACAGCAGCAACCGAAGATAGTACCTCCCTTCTGCCACATCTGCAAGACTTCAGGGCACCCGCGCACACACTGCCCGAATCGTCAGCAATCAACGGCACCACAGCGACAACTTCGACCTTCAAGCTCCCAAATGGCTTCAACACAAGCAAGTGCGACGACCACTATTCAAGCTTCAACGACATCACCCGGACAACCTGCACAAGGAGCAAGAAATATAATCAACTGCATGACGAAGATAACCGATTCGTGTACAACCGAATCACCACCACACTACTCACCGGAAGAAGAGCTTGACAACAGAACGCCTCGCCGTGAGCTACTCCAGCCGAATCCAACGTACGCCGCCATCGCTCAAAGTGAACCGTCCGGCCAAGACACCTGGTTCTTGGACAGTTGCTGCGGGCAACACATGTGCTCGTCCGGGCGTTTCGTACAACGCGAACATCGACTCCAACGGGAAGTGATCATCACGGTTGCCAACAACCAAAACCTGCGCACACGAAGACAAGGAGTGGTACAGCTTCAGTCAAGAGAAACAAATGTCATACTGCACATGTCTAAGGTACTCATCGCTGAAGGACTCGGCTACAACTTACTGAGCGTTAGCCAGTTGATGGCGAAAGGAATTCATCTGGAAGCCGACAGCACGACCCAGGAGTTCAAACTTTACCACGGGAGAGGCGGTCTCTACATCGGGAAAGCAGTGCTGAAGAACAACGTCTTCGTCCTCGACTTCGTTCCTGACCTGGGCACTGCAGACAGCGACGCCATCGTGAATTTCACTGACTGGACACACCCTCCGGATCTCGACCCCGACTTCAGCCCAGGAGGCTTCTGGTACTCGCACACCATTCCTGAAGCAGAACGAACACGAGCATTAGCAACAATTCGACAATCGGCAGCAGCAGCAACAACATCAGCAGCAGTAACAACATCGGCAGCAGCAACAACATCGGCAGCAGTAACAACATCGGCAGCAGCAACAACATCGGCAGCAGCAACAACATCTGCAGCAGGAACAACGACACCAGTCACAGTCGACGAAGCACCACCAACACCCGCGCAACAGCTGAATCCGACTCAACGTGAAGTCCACCGAAGCGCCAACCTCGTCGCCAGCTTTTACTCCAACTCCGACGCATATCAGCGTTCACCTGGACACCGCGCCTCTGAAGAGATCTGGCACGCACGAACAGGACATCCAAGCAACACGGTTTTGAATAACACGATAAGAGCAGGAGTCCTTGACAAAGATTCTCTACTTCTACCCGATGGCAGAGAACTCCAGAAGGCACGAGGGACTTGCCTTATATGTCCCGAAGCTGACTTACCTCATCGACCGTTTGCTTCACATCACAACCCGAGCGCTCCAGCGTACGCACCACTCGAAAAAGTCTACAGCGACATCCTCTACAATCGCGAACCAGGACAAGTCAACTACAACTACACCATCATCTTCATCGACGCCGCCACTCGATACGTCTGGCATCGCAACCTACCCAGCCGCGACATGGCGCTCGCAGCATTCGCCGCCTGGCTACCGATAGCAGAGAGAGAGTCTGGAACACAACTGAAAAATTTTCCAGTCAGACGGAGGTGGCGAGTACACCTCTCACCGCTTCAAGCAGTTCTTGGCGGAAAGGGGGATCAAGCAACTCCTCTCCCTTCCCTACGCACATCAGCAGCAAGGTGTTGCAGAACGACTGAACAGGACCCTGCAGAACAGCATGCGCAAACTGTTACGTGGCATGCGGCTACCCAACCACCAGTGGCCTGCAGCAATGGACCACGCTGTCATGCTACACAACTTGTTGTCGTCGTCGTCACTCCCGAACAACGCATCACCGCATCTGCTGTGGACAGGGAAGCAAGGCAGCACGAAAATGTTACGAGTTTTCGGGTGCATGGTACAGTACAGACCCCCAGAAGCACGAGCGGGAAGATTTTCGCAACGGGCACAGTGGGGACTACACCTCGGCATCGAGAAAAATTACAACGCATGGAGAATCTTCGACGTCCACACAAAGGAAACAGTAGCAGCACGTGACGTGATCTTCTACGAAAGACTCACCCTTCAGACGTACCTCGCCAACTTACACGAGAATCGGGACCTCACCAGTGGTTTTCGTGGTGACCGAGCCTTCGCGTCAGCAGCGGATGAAGCAGACTGGGACGAGCAGAATGTTGACAACGCATCGGCAGAAGCCGGACCTCTCCCGTACTGCTCCGTCAACGTGCCCATGGACGAAGAAAATCCTCGCGACAGTAACAACGCCGAAGTCTTCTACCACTTCGCCGATACCGGTTACGTAACACCTGCAACCGTCAACACAAATGAAGCAGAAAGGATAGAACCGAATTTCATCCCTGATCCAGAAGCGGGAGACGAAGCAGCTTATCCCGAGGATCCAGAACTCCCTCGATACTCACAGACTGGGCTGCAAATCCTCGGCCTCGTCACCGCAGTCCACGGGAACACACGCAGCTCGCTTCCTAAGGAGCCTGCAACGGTTCAGCAGGCTCTGGGGGGGGAACACAGGGAGAAATGGCGTGAAGCCATGGATAGAGAACTGAAGGCATTAGAGGAACGCAACACTTGGAAGGTTGTTCCCGTAAGCGTGGCACGGAACAAAACCATCCTTACCGGGAAATGGGTCTTCCGCATCAAGACGAAAGCAGACGGCACGATCGAAAAATTCAAAGCACGCTGGGTCGTACGTGGATTCGACCAAGAGCAAGGACGAGACTTCACCGAGACCTTTGCTCCAGTCAGCCGCCACACGTCACTCCGAATTCTCCTCGCCATTGCCGCCATGAAGAAGAAGAAGTTACGGCAGATCGACGTCGCGAATGCCTTCCTCTACGCACCTGTGGATGCAGAAATCTACGTCGAGCTCCCGCACGGTTCCCATGGCGAACCCAACCGAATCTGTCAACTACTTAAATCGCTCTACGGGATCAAGCAGGCACCGCGACTGTGGCAGCAGTACCTGCACGCTCGTCTCATCCGCATCGGCTTTAGTCAACTACCTCACGACCAAGGCATGTACCGCCTCACTAAGGGAAGCGACTACGTTCTCCTGATCGTCTACGTGGACGATCTCCTCTACATTGGGTCAACCGACGGCATCGCCACGTGGTTCGAAGGAGAGCTCCAGAAAGACCTCACGCTCACGGTCTCCTCCACCGTTACACAGTACCTCGGGCTCAACATCCGCGAAGAAGAAAACGCCATCTATCTAAGCGCCGAGAAATACGCCGACACCATCGCGAAACGCTTCAGCCTCACACCAAGCGCCATCTCCACGCCTTACCGCTACACATCAGGAACCGAGAAGGAACGAACTTCTCTACTCAAGCCCGCCGGCATACGCGACTATCAGAAGAAGCTCGGATGCCTGCTATTCGCCGCCGTCACCTGCCGTCCTGACTTATCCTACTCCGCAAGTCAGCTCGCCACCTATCTCAAGAAGCCTGAAGCTGAACACCTGGCGGAACTTGATCGCGCTCTCCACTACTTCGTCAGCACCGCGACGATCGGGCTAACCTACCACAAGAGCGCAGCTACATCGACTAAGCTAATCGGCTACGTCGACGCCGATCACGCCGGCGACACCGACAACAGGCGCTCACGCACCGGCTATGTCTACCGCCTTGAGCCTATCGGTCCTATCTCCTGGCAGTCGAGCAAGCAGGAGTTAATCGCACTATCTTCAGCAGAAGCAGAATATAGTGCACTCTGCTCAGCCACCAAGGAGGGACTTTACCTTCGCGAACTACTGGAAGAAGCGAAGCTAGCCGAGTTACCCAGCTTCACCGTGTTCTGCGACAACCAGTCAGCAATTCGCATCGCCAACAAAAACGGCTTCGCAAACAGGATGAAACACATCGCCCTGCGCTATTTCTTCGTGAAGGACGAGATAGAAAAAGGGAAACTCGATCTGTCATACTGTCCAACATCCGAGATGGCAGCCGATTACTTGACCAAGAAACTCGGCAAGCAGAAGTTCGAATACTGCATGATGCTGACTGGACAAGGCCACGTCACCAGCAGTAACACTCCAGAAGCGAAGGGGAGTGTTGGAAACAATAAGTCCTAAGTGCGCTTCTGTCGTATCAAAATCCAAGGTACCAAGCGAAGCAGTCCCAATCGAAGCATCGAGTCAACCTCGGAGGTTAGGGTAACCGCCTGGAGGTTACGAGAAAGTCAAAGGTCGCTGACCTTTGACTCGACAATTACAGCGCGACAGTTAAGGACACACAACTGACTCGTTACAGAGCAGTTGCCCGAGTCGCGCTATATCGAACCGCAACAGCAATACAGTTATCTATCTATTCCCTGTACTCTTATATAAATCCTTGTATTTGCTTGTTTAATTCAATCAACTTTGCTCTCACACACCAGTGCAAGGTCGGTTCAAATTCTTCACTAAACGCTTCCGCTATTACAACTACTTCACCTAGAGTTATCACTTGCAAAGATCCTAAGGGGCTATCTCTCCCAGCATAAGGGAAAAGGGGCTCACCTCTCCTAGCATAAGGGAAAAGGGGCTCACCTCTCCCAGCATAAGGGAAAAGGGGCTCACCTCTCCCAGCATAAGGGAAAAGGGGCTCACCTCTCCCAGCATAAGGGAAAAGGGGCTCACCTCTCCCAGCATAAGGGAAAAGGGGCTCACCTCTCCCAGCATAAGGGAAAAGGGGCGCACATAAGGAATCGGTACTCACAGCCAGCACGAGGTGACTTTTGAGTCGATTCAAGAGGGGTGGGTGAAGGGGAAAAAGGGCGCGCATAAGGAATCGGTACTCACAGCCAGCACGATGCCGAACACCCACAGTTACCCCGCCACAAAGTTCCTTGCAGGGTCGACTCAAAAGTCAGAGAGGGAGTTCGGAATTCAACAGAGAGCCGGAGAACGGGAGCTGGTATGGTACTCACAGCCAGCACGATGCCGAACACCCACAGGCACTCCGCGAGGAGTCTCCTCCGCGGACCCAAAGACTAAAAAAGACGGACGGACCCAAAGAGTCAAAGAGACAGACGGACCCAAAGAGTACTCACAGCCAGCACGATGCCAAACACCCACAGGCACTCCGTGAGAAGTCTCCGCGGACCCAAAGACTCAAAGAGACGGACGGACCCAACGAGAAGGATCAGGAGCACTCACCGCGAGCACAATACCGAACACCCACAGGTACCCCACCCGCCCCGAACCCCAGCAGGTCGCACCACTATGGCCTCGCAAATGAGCGTACGGGAGAGTCAAGAGCGGAGAACGCGGGTAATGGGAGGGACTCACGGCGAGCACAATACCCAACACCCACAGGTACCCCACCCGCCCCGAACCCCAGCAGGTCGCACCACTATGGCCTCGCAAATGAGCGTACGGGAGAGTCAAGAGCGGAGAACGCGGGTAATGGGAGGGACTCACGGCGAGCACAATACCCAACACCCACCGGTACCCCGCCCGCCACGAACCCCAGCAGGTCGCACACTGACATCGGCTAGAGTTACAGGGGAGCTTATGCTGTTGACTTGACAGTGAGGGGGGTTCACACAGGGGGCTAACCAGGGCGCTGGAACCCAAAAGTATATTTTTGAGACGCTGGAACCCAAACGTGTTTTGTTTTCACGTGGCTCTCTTATCTTATGCCGTTGACTTGACGGGGGTTCATATTCATATTCATATTCATATTCATATTCATATCATACAGCGGGCTAGCCAGGGCGCTCACCGCCAAAGAAAGGGAAACACACAGCAAGGGGGTTGGTTGGCACTCACAGCCAGCACGATGCCGAACACCCACAGGTACTCCGCAATGCACCCCAGCACGTCCCACTGGGAACCTTCCCAGAGTCGGGGTTGTCTCCGGGCATGGGCGGGCGGTATTCCCGGCCAGCTAGCTTACAGGGAGAGCTTATGCAATCCACCACAGTAAGAGGAGGTCTGTAGAGGGGGCAACCAGGGCGCTGGGACTCGAAGGAAGGGGGTCTGGAGGACTCACAGCCAGCACGATGCCCAAACACCCACAGGTACTCCGCAATGAACCCCAGCACGTCCCACTGGGAACCTTCCCAGAAGTCGGGGTTGTCTCCGGGCATGGCTGGGGCGGTAGTCGCGGCCAGCTAGCGGATCGTCCGTTCGGAACACCACGGCTCCTTGGGCCTTCTTCATGCTCGCCCTGCCGCCGGCTGTTACAAAAGGTGAGACACACACGGGACAGGCGATGGAGTTTGTGACGGGAGTCGGGAGAGAAAGAGCCAAGGCAGGCACACGCACATACAGTTGGAGAGGGAGAGTTTTCTCGCCTATAACCACCATGCTCGCCCTGTGGATCGTCATATATCCAGCTAGCGGGTTGTCAGTTCGGAACACCACTGCGCCCTGAGCCTTCTTCATGCTCGCCCTGCCGCCTGCAGTTCAAAGGAGTGAGACACATACACACCACAAGAGAGGGGCGACAGGAATCATGGGCTTGCTGTTGCCTGCTACAACCGGCTAGCAGATCCTCCTCTTTTAACACCACTGCGCCCTGAGCCTTCTTCCTGCTCGCCCTGCCGCCTGCAGTTCAAAGGAGTGAGACACATACACACCACAAGAGAGGGGCGACAGGAATCATGGGCTTGCTGTTGCCTGCTACAACCGGCTAGCAGATCCTCCTCTTTTAACACCACTGCGCCCTGAGCCTTCTTCCTGCTCGCCCTGCCGCCTGCAGTTCAAAGGAGTGAGACACATACACACCACAAGAGAGGGGCGACAGGAATCATGGGCTTGCTGTTGCCTGCTACAACCGGCTAGCAGATCCTCCTCTTTTAACACCACTGCGCCCTGAGCCTTCTTCCTGCTCGCCCTGCCGCCTGCAGTTCAAAGGAGTGAGACACATACACACCAAAAGAGAGGGGCGACAGGAATCATGGGCTTGCTGTTGCCTGCTACAACCGGCTAGCAGATCCTCCTCTTTTAACACCATTGCGCCCTGAGCCTTCTTCCTGCTCGCAAAAGGAGTCCGCCAGCTGGTCAAAAGGAGTCCGCCAGGTCAAATTTGAATTAATCAAAAGCAGGGCAAAGAAGGGGAGGAGTGAGTGAGTGGTGCGAGTGGTGTGAGTGGCGTTAGAAGCTATCCTTTTAGTCGATATAAAAATCGCCTCATCACAAGAGGACCGAGGGAAGGTAGTGGCACTGGAAGCAGAGAGCATGTAGTGTGCCTTGTGCGTGTGAGGGGCCGAGGGTTGAGTGGCAGGAAGACGGGCAGAGAGACGAGCAGAGAGAGACGAGGAGAGGGAGCAGCACCAATCAACCTTGAGGGAGTGGAGGAGGGCGACAGCGATGGTGGTGCTGAAAGCAGCGAGCAGAGAGTGTGCCTTGTGCGTGTGAGGGGCAGGGGGTTGACTGACAGGCAGACGGGCAGGCAGAGAGACGAGCAGAGAGATGAGCAGAGAGAGACGAGCAGAGAGGAGCAAGAGAGACAGCAGGATTGATGCACACCAGCCACCTGTGAGGGAGTGGAGGAGGCCGAGTGCGATGGCGCTGGAAGCAGCAAGTGACTGTGACTGGCAGAGAGCCAGAAAGAGAGAGAGAGAGAGAGGAGCACCAACCAACCTTGAGGGAGTGGAGGAGGGCGACGGCGATGGCGTTGGAAGCAGCGAGCAGGGGGAGTGCCTTATGCGCGTCTGAGGCGGAGAGGTGAGTGGCTGACAGGCAGACGGGCAGCGAGACGAGGCAGAGAGAGGCAACAGGAAAGACGCGGGCGCACGCGCGCGCACACACACACACACACTCACACACACACACTCACACTCACACACACACACACACAAACACACACCAACCAACCTTGAGGGAGTGCAGGAGGGCGAGGGCGATGGCGTTGGAAGCAGCGAGCAGGGAGTGCGCCTTGTGCGCGTCTGAGGTGGAGAGGTGAGTCATTGACAGCTCCAGCCGTTTCTTCACAAAGGTAATGAGCTCGTCACTGGGGTTGGGGCAGAGAGGGGAGAAGAGCGGGGAGGAGCGGAGGGGAGAGGGCCGGGCAGGAGAAGAGAGGAGAGGCGAGGAGAGGAAAGGAGAGGAAGGAGGGGACAGGCGATTGGGTACAAGGACAGAACTGTTGTATAGCTGCTTCAAAAAGAGAAGGGAGAGAGAAGGGCGCTTCTTCACAAAGGTGACGAGCTCGTCACTGGGGTTGGGGAAGGGAGAGAGGAGGGAGAACTGTCAGTCATTGATAATGGAGGTGCGTCACTGACAGGCCCAGGCGCTTTTTCACGAAGGTGATGAGCTCGTCGCTGGGATCGGGGAGGAGGGAATAGAAGTGTTTACAAGAGCTCTCAAGAATCCCCTCTGGATCAACGTCTGTTTGAAATCACCATCTCCCCCCACAAGCACGAACATGGAGTTCGGCATTTCGCACTTCGTCACATTTCCTCTACTATGGTAACCAGACGATGAAACTCATGAAATACCAGACTCGCACTTCTCAGGGTAGCCCCTGATTGGTCTGAAAACTCCGTCTCTGACGAGCACGAAATTCGGCATGTCGCCATACGCCTTGAACTCTTCGCGAACGCCTTCGCCTGCCGCGACTCCATCCACCATCGCTACAGTCACACCCAGCTTTGTCAACTCCGCTTTCGCGCCGGACACGTCATCCACGAGCAACGGAAACGCCTTATCCTCCTTATTGAAAAACACGACAAGGACGCGCGAATGCTCCGCTATAGTCTTGCGGAGCGTTGGCACCGTTAAGGTCTGAACAGGGGCTTTAATCTTGCCTAAAGCGGCTTCTAACTCCTCCTCTTCGTTCGGATCCGGGGACTTGTAAGTAACTCTCTCCGCTCCGATTAATTTCGCCGCTGTCGCCACAGTTACCGGCGACGTGGTTACCGCCAATGGCGACATTGTCGGCGATACATTGAAGGAGGAAGAGAGGGAGAGGAGGACGAGGAGGAGGAGCGGAACGGAGCGACGGCAAGTTGGCATGTTGAGCGGGGCAAGCATTAGAGCAGAGAAGAAGAGCAGACGCGAGGCAATAGAGAAGTCAGGGAGATGAGAAGAACTGTTGCGAAGGCGATTAGAAGCAAATAACGCGAAGTCGGAATGAGGGTGGCGCTATATAGTGAGAGAACTTGGAATATGAGAAAATTGGCTGCTTTTCATCGCTTCTGTACACCATGTTTCTCGATGTTTGAACAATCAGGAGCCCCGGCTACAGTGCGCACGTGTGCTTGGATTCAGCGGGCTGGTGCTTGCTACCGAAATGCACTTCAGGAGAACGGTAGACAACGGCTTATGAAAAACAACGTGCTTTTGAGTTCGGTTTCGTGCGGCAAAAGTGCTTATACGGTATGTTATGGGACCAATTTGGACGCATTGATGTCAGTACAACTGGCCTGTCAATATGGCGAATGTCAGTGTGGCGCGAAACAGGGTGTACTTGTTGCTGTGACGAAACGAGCTTCTGTGTTTTCCAGAACACTCCGAAGAACGAGCTATGAGCGCGGACGATTCGCTATGAGGTACAATGAGGCCTTGAGAACATCTTCATGGGATTCTGAAGCTATTCTTTCGAACCAAACATCTCCCTTTGCTGGGTCTCATACCGTATTACCCCGGACATACCACCCTAGGGTGCTATGATAACTACACAAAAAAGGGGGGGGGGGGGGGGGGGGGGGGGGGGGGGGTCTTGTCATCGGAAAAAGCTACATTGCACCCGGGTCGTTACATAATGTATATTTTTTTTAGAGCACAAAAGGTTGAGAACAAAATGTACATGTTTGACGCGGTGGTAGATTGTTGGTTGGGTGCGCAAAACGGAGGACTGGGCGATAACGTTAGTCTCGTGGGTTAGCTGCCACATTGCAAGCTCCAACAAGGCCCACAGTCAGGCCCTGATTGGAAAGAAGACACACCCCCCAGAGCTGACGTTTCATTTCGGGCCCCCCTGATTTCGGGAAAAAAAATTCTCCCTGGATTATGAGGGCACATATTTCGTAGGTTTGCTACTCTGATTGATCAGTGTCCAACAACGACTTACTCAGAGTTGTCAGGGTTCAGAGCAAGAAATCAGAGTTGCATCCAATCACGCAAATTTCTCCCATTTCCCTTCCACGCCTCACTTCCCTGGCCGGTCGAAATCAAACAGAACACACAACCAAGCTGGCAGTCGTGATTTTACTGTACTGAAGTCACACAAACTGTTGGGTCGGATCACGGTTCTTCTAAAGTTCGCCTGCCATAAAATCTGGACAAGTGAACGCGTAAGTACACGTCAGTGTGACTTGGCACCACACAGCCACGAATATCGCCCACAATGTGCCACCCAGAGTACAGTGCACGTTCGCCGTCAACCACAGTGTATATTTGCAAAAACTGCAATATTACCCGTACATAACACCCACCCCCCCGGGTGCTATATCAGATCGCCCCAAAAGGGGGGTATAGTAGAAATGAGGCCCGCTATAGCACCCCCCCCGCACAAGCCACCCGGGGGGTGCTCTATTTCGGCGGGTGGTATGTCCGGGGTAATACGGTAAATGAATCAGCATCAAAGCCGTGAACCATTCGCGTTTGTGTGCGCAAAGATTCTGAGTCTGAGGGGGTGTCCAGCTCGTACATTTACTGTTCGTAAACCCGCTCAGTTACCACATTTTTTGTTGTAACACTGTATTGAACGTGTCCTTCGGACACAATCAGCTTTCGTTCACAAGACGGCACGCCCCCTGCACGTACATGGAATCGTCTGACTCACGTTACTGGAATCAGCGGGGACGCGAACAAGGGTACAGCACCGCGTCCTGGCCACTACAGTAGTCCCCCCTGAATCGCTTGCACAATTTCGCCAGTAGCTCGCTACAATCGTCAACACCCCCACCCCCGCCTGCCCAAAAATTCGTTAGCCATGATTGACGAGGGAAACTGTTACCTCGTTTCGAAAGCAATCAGAGCACTGTTGATTCGTGTGGCGGGGAACGTGTCCGCGCTCCTGAAATTAGAGGTAGGTTGGACTCAACTCATAATGCATTCGTTTTTAGGTACAGTGATTATATTTGAGCCTCAAGACGTGTGTTGGCACTAAAAAACCCGAAATGAACGAACTGGACACGCCCTGAGCACGTGAATTTGCGAATCAAAGGGGACACTGGTTGCGTGGTAACCAGGCCAAGGATGAGCAGCGTCCACGGATCCCGGCTCGGCGGCTGGCTGAGTCAGCCAGGTTCCCACCAAGCTGCGCCGCCTGGTTGTGTGCTGTGGCCCGGGTAACCTGACTTCGGCCATCGCGAAAACCTGGTCGTCCAGGGTTTTCTGTGGGAAAGGCCCCAGGAAACCACAGCTTTATAGGAAAATCAGTAGGGTCGGGTACTTCACACCTTTCCCTCGCGGCAAAGGAATTCTCCTCTCCTCCTCACTCGCGCCCCTGATCTCGCGAAAAAAACTAACGTCCTCGGCCCGAATTGAGTGAGGCTTACGTGGATGAACCCACCCCAAGCTCATTGGTTTCTGAGGTTGACGAGGACGAACCTTACCCCAAGCTCATTGGTTCCTGAGGCTGACGAGGACGAACCCTACCCCAAGCTGATTCGTTTCTCCTGCCCCAGTGGTGCCCAGAATGGCGGCGGTGGTTGAAAGACGGCATGCCAGGAGGGCGTGGATCATTTTCGTGCATGAAACGAGTTACCATCCTGCAACATCCCACGGCACATGGTCGAGTTATTGCTGGCACTGTCAAGAATAATATATATTTCTATATATTGTTTTTGTAACTGCCTGTAGTGTAGACTAGTGTAGTTATATAATGTTCTGTTTTGGTGGTGCACCTTTCATTTTGCCTATATGTACTGCTCGCTCTATAGTGAAAACCCTTCTTCTCTTTTCAACTTTCTCGACTCTAACTTAACTCACTCGAACTCAACTAGCTATGGCTCCTTAGCCTAGCTCAAGTTCTCACATGCTATCAGAGAGAGTTACGATCCTGGCCTTTTGCTTCCGCTGCTACTGAGTGTACTGCACGCCCCGTGGTGTGCCCTTTCATTCGCGGCCCCGCCACCCGCTCGCGGCCCCGCACCTTCTTAAGCGGCCCCGCCGCCCTACTGTCGCGGCCTCGCCGCCTCTCTGCTGTCGCGGCCCCGCCGCCCTACACTGCGGCCTCGCCGCTCTACTCCTGCGGCCCCGTCGCCGCCCGTCCCGGCCCGTCGCCGCCCGTACCAGCCCGTCGCCGCCCTTCGCGGCGTCACGTGCCACCCGTCCCGGCCCGTCGCTGCCCGTGCGGTACCCACCCTAGGCACCGATGCCACCTGCGGCCCCGCCCTCTTGCGGCCCCGACCCCGCCCCGGCCATGCCCTGTCGCCAGCCGCGGCACACCGGGGGCACGTGCACCGCCCCCCCCCCCTTTTCCCGTCACCCGTCGCGGCTCCTTCGGGGGCCGCACGCGGCCCCCTCAGGTCGCCTCGACAGGTGACGGGAGGGGCGACCTGGAAGGGGGGGGCAGGCGTCACCCCCTCTGCCGCCTGCTTTGGCGCCCGGGGAGGCCGTGCGTCGGCCCCCCCCCCCTCCCTCCCCCCCCTCTTCTCCTCCTCCTTTTGTTCCCTCTGCTGCAGCTGCCGCTGGGGGGGGGGGGGTGAGAGTGTGGGGGAGCCCGGGGAGGGACTGGGGGTGGCGGGTGTGGGGGTGATGGGTGATGTCTGTTCCCCTAGCCCTACGGCCCCATTCTCCTCCATTTGCCCCCCCCCCCCCCCCCCCCCTCTGCTGCTCCTGCAGCAGTGTGAGGGGGATGGGGAGGAGGAGGGGGAGGTTGAGGGGATGTAGGGGGTGACCAACCAGAGCCTATCACCTCCTGTTCTCTGTTTTATGCATTGGTTGTCACTGCTCCTGCTTGGTGTACCCCATTATGGGGGCGTTGACTGCATATTCTTCCCTACAGGCACTTATGGGGGCGTGTCAAGAATAATATATATTTCTATATATTGTTTTTGTAACTGCCTGTAGTGTAGACTAGTGTAGTTATATAATGTTCTGTTTTGGTGGTGCACCTTTCATTTTGCCTATATGTACTGCTCGCTCTATAGTGAAAACCCTTCTTCTCTTTTCAACTTTCTCGACTCTAACTTAACTCACTCGAACTCAACTAGCTATGGCTCCTTAGCCTAGCTCAAGTTCTCACAGGCACGATTGTAAATCGCGTGGCGATCAAAGTCTGACTACGAAATTCCAAAAGCCTATCGCACGAGCTTTCGCCGCACAGTTGATTTGGCGGACTAAACTGCGAAACCACAAAACGAGCAACCTTGTCACACTCGCGAGAATGACTTAGGGTTTGTCTGTGGGTCTGTGCCCAAGAGACACTGCTCTACGGCATCCTAGTTCATCGATCGTGAGTCCTGAACGGATAGGAGGCAATGCCGTCTCAGTACACCACATCGACGGAGCGCGTGCAACGGCGGAATGGGGAACGGGGCGCAATGGTGCAAGGCATGGTGTGTCTGCGCGATTCGTGACTGCTCTGCATCCTAGCTCATTGATCGTGATTCGTGAACGGAAAAGAGGTTTTACCGTCTCAGTACACCACATGGACGGAGCGCGTGCAGTGGCGGAACGGGAGCGCGTGCAGCGGCGGAACGGGGAGCGCGTGCAGCGGCGGAATGGGGAACTGGGGGCAGTGGTGCAAGGCATGCGGGGAGGAAAGGGCTAGTGGGAGTAGCGAACACTTGACAGTATTTCAGCAGTCACGATGAAGCAGACCGTAAAGCGCTTTCAGTTTGCTCAGCTGTTTTATCTTACCTGATATTCGTACGAGTACCACCGCCATGGCTCTCCGTCTCGTTTCTCGGCCTTTTCACGTCGTCGCGCTGCTTCTCGCCGCCGTTGCATCACTCACACGCATGACACGCAGTGCAGAGGCG